ATTCCATGCATTTCACATACAGTTTATGAAATGATCTATAGTTTTTTACACTTTATATCCAAAATAAATTGGAAAAAACATCAATAAATTCATATTAACCAATAAATATTTATTTTATGAAAAATGGTGATAAAACAATTAAAAATAAAATAAAAATATAATTTAAAAAATTATTAAACTATTTAAAACTAAAAAAATAAAAATATTAAATAATTCTTCCCTTACAGTGGAGCACAACAGCGGAGTAGAAGAGCTACGATAAAAATATGTAGGGCAACAAAAGTAGAGGTGTGATGTACTGTATCAATAGAAAACTGTAAATTGGGTGTGGACCAAGTGCAACCACAAGAAAATACTGTATCAATAGACACCAATCCTGTCCCCACCACAGAACACACTATTCATCCTATGTAGTGGATCGAAATGGTCCATCCATAAGATGAACACAGTTTCGAACACCCTCAAAGTTGGTTTATGTATATAGAGTCCAAATTACAAACCACAAATCAAGGTTGTATCCTATATGTTGTTTGTAGTTCTAGATTATTGTTTCAATAGAAACAAAGAACCCAACGCACTACTAGGGGCTGTTTCACCACTGTATTATTTTGTTTTTGAAATTGCCACATCCCTTAGAACCCCTATCCCCATCCCAAAATAAGGAAAAAGAAAATGAGAGAAAGAGAGAGAGAGAGAGCCTTATTGTCTTCCAAGAAAAACCGCATAATTGCAGTTTGAACTGTTTGCCAGTTAGGGATACAATGGACATGTCATCGTTGCTAGTCATGTGTTATACCTCTACCAAGTGAAGCTGGAGGTTTCATTTTATATAAATAATATTGGACCTGGATTTTTGAGTGAGAGAGAGGGGAACCATCGAAGGAACTCCTTTCTCAATTTCAAGTTCTATATTTGTATATTCATTTTTTTTTCTATTTTTAAATTTATGCAAAATCTATGATGCATGCAGCAAAAGATGTGATTGGTTGAATGTAAAGACAAATGCATCTTATTAAATGTGAATATACAGCGTATTTTATAAAATGTGAACCAATGAAAAATAAGCTAATTTTTTAATGTGATTGATTGAAATCTGAATTTAACGTGCAGCCGATATTAGTGAGTGCATGTCAGTTGAACTCTTAAGTCTAATAGGTGATATCTCTATTCTCCAATAAAATATATTACAGACATTTGGAGAACCTTCTCTGCTCCCTTTAGTTACGGTCAAATTCTCATATCATCCCTTTAAATTTACCAAATAACCTATACCCCCTTTGACCATGAAACTAATGGGGTTTGTTAATAAAAGAGACATAAATAAATGCTTTACCAAAATGTTGTTAATAATTAATTAAACATTTGCTTCTAAAATATATATTTTTTGAAATTGATAAAAATACCCTCATTTAAATACTGAATACAGTTTTGATATTTTTATTTTTCTAAAATTTCAAATTTTCATTCTCATCTTAACCTCAATGTTTTTGTCCATATAATATACAAGGTGTAAAAACGAGTAAAATGCACCTTTGAAAAATTTGAACATTATCTAAGCAATTTCCTCACTATGATTAACTGCATATTATTGCAGGGGTGGAATAAGTTTTTTTTGGTAAGAGTGGTGGAATAAGTTACTTAGCCCTAATCTATCAAAAAAACAAGCTGTACTTAGCCTAAAATTACCACAAGGGATGATTAATCCATCCCTGTTCAGTATTGTTCACAGTAGATCCCTGTTGAGTAAATTTGATGGTAGGTTTTAGTATTTAACAAAAGTCTCAAAAAAAAAGAACAAAAATCTCAAGGATGGTATAAATAATTTACGGTAAAAAGACAATAAAATGAAGGGAGAATGACGGTTCAGCCTAGGGTCAGAATTTTTAGGCCCAAAGTACAAATGGGGTAGGTGCCAGGTCGGAATTGATGTCAACTCACGGGCGGGCATTGGTGTATAGAGTGGGGGGTATTTGACATTTTGAATGTTTATAGGTCTGCAGTAGAACTCAGAAATCTGCATTGGGCTTATCTGTGCTTTTCTATAAAATGAATAATGCTCCTTAGCATTGCATATCCACGTCCACTGTTACATCATTGATCGGCCACGTATGCAGACCACTATAATGCTTAAAATCATATTAGCTAATACCTGTGGCAATGCATCCAATCCAACTCGTCAGGAAAAAAACTAGATATAGATAGTAGAATAGCATAGACAAAGACTCGCTGTGTATTTCAAAATTCATTAAACTGGATTTTAAAATTCATTTGTTAAGTGAAAGCTAAACAATAGAAGCACATAAGAGTATATAATTGTTTTATATTTTAACTTTTTAATTAATTAATAATTAGTTATATTTTATATACTACTTTTAATATTTTTTTATAATACAAAAATAACAATAATTAATTTCAGCTAGGATTGTGTTCATCAAACCGATGAAACCAACCAACCGACCAACTTGACCCAACTCGATCCTACTTGGTCAGTTTTCTAGTATTTCTGGTGGGTTTCGGTTCAGCAATTTCCCAATTTGATCAGGTCGGGTCAGTTTTAGTTTGGCCATTTGTAAATCGACCAAGACCAAACTAACCCGACCATATATATTAAATATAATATTTTTAATATGAGAAAGTGGGAAATTCCCATATTTCTTACTCCAAAATGTTTTATATTGTAAATTTAAAATTTATTTTTTAATAATACCATTGTAACTTTTAAATTTAAATTTTTAAGTTTCAATCTTTTGAATTAAAAGACCAAACCGAAAATTGACGCAAACCAATACAACCAAAGTTGATTGGTTTTCACTAATGGTCAGTTGGTTTTGGGTGACTAATTCCCCAACTTGACTAGGTCAGTTTGGTTGGCCAAACAACCTACAACTGAACCAAACCAACTCATGAACACTCCTAATTTCAACTAAACTAATAGTCTAATATCTAATAAATAACGATAGTTTAATCTCCAATAATTATTGAAAATTTTCTAAAATAGATTCATACATAATTATTGAAAATATATTTATCACAAAAATGCAATGAGCAATTACTAAAAATACAATAAATATAAATTTTAGTACATATAAATATATAATAAATATAGATTAAGATTTTAAAATTATTATTATTAAATATCAAACTTCGAAAAAGTTATTTTCTAGAATTATTAATTGATATAAGTGAAATAATGTTTTTATTATTAGTACATTAATAAACACAATTATTATTCTATTTTTTAATATCTATTAAAAACATTTTTTTTGAAAGTTATTACCTATTTTTGTTATTTTAAAGCTTCAATACCTCTATGAAATTCATAAATAAAATTTATAATTTCATTAGGAATTTCATAAAATATAAAATTATTAATAATATGAATATTATTAAATATATTATAATTATTTTTTGTGTTTTTCATAAATAATTCAAAATTATTACATAATTCTATTATAATATTTAAGTAATTCTTAATTTTTTAATTCAAATTTTCTATAAATAGATATAGATGAAAAGTGGGGAAGAGGATAAATAGGAATTATAGATAGTTTAGGAGAAAGTGGGGGATAGTGGTGCCACATTAGATTAGATTTTGGTAGAAAGAGATTTTAGGAATAGTTTTAGGAGGGGATTCCAAAAGGATAAACATAGAGGAAAGAGGGATGAAGTGGGCATGCTGAGATGTCGAGAGAGGGAGATGAGACTGATGAGGTGGCTTCTCTCCGTTGGGGTAAGGAAGTCTCCTACCTTTCTCTATATAAGTTGTAATCTGGTTATCAATAGCACTACTGGCCTTATCTGAAATCTAGACACTGTTCTCAAATTTGTCATTACACCTACGGTTTTGTTTAATTCCTCAAATATGCCTACTGTATTAAATTTCAATTATTCTATATATGGCTTCCCTGTCCACGAAGGAAAACTAGCCATGATTTTCGTATTGCTACCACACTGGCTTGCCATAATAAACACGAAAGGCAGTGCAGCACTGATCACCAACCACAAATTCTCTGTATGTAAAATCATCCTTCAAATTACTTTCACAGGGTTTTTTTGCAGAACATCTTATGAGAAGATATGTGGTTGAGACATTAGTTGTAGTCTATCTTTCATGAGCTTCTCCCCAGAAAATTAAAGGATGCTGATTTGAAAAGCTTAATTGTCGGATCAGTACAGTGTTCAATGCTCGCTCGAATCAATCAAACCCATCTTATATACTCAAGCAAAAACTGTTTAATTATCTTTTCTTGCATCTCTCTGAAGCCTTTAAAAAAGAATTTTAGATGCATGTGAAGAAAACAAAGTGTTTCGACAACAGCAAAAATAAGAAGATGAAGAAGAGGTGGAACCCATATAATCCAAAACCATATATATATATATATATATGTTCTTCTCATCATCTGACTCGTTCAATGAATCCGCTCGTCCTGCTGGCATTGCCAACCTGATCTTTTACACGGTTACAGGTATACTTTCTTTACTGTACAAGAGTTATTATTTTTTCTTTGGATTTATTTATGGAGCAATTAAATAGCTATGATACTTGACTCTTAAAATCATAGCCCAGTACTTTAAGCGCAACAGCCAAGCTGAGGCCTTGATAACATCGTCAAAGCTGGATCACATTGCTGTCAACCAAGACAGAGTTGAATTGTGGTACTATGTCAACAACCCCATTAGCTTTTTCGTTTATATCCATCACATCCACCATGGGCATCAGATACAGGTAAGCCATTAATGGTCTGAGCTTCTTAGGTGCTTAGTGTTTGTTGTTTTATCTATTTCCCTTAAAATTAAACTGAATAACATAGTTGATTTCAGCCGGACAACAGGGTAAGCTAGCGTTTGCATCGTGAACGAGTATATAATAGGTGTGAGCGGCCGGATCAGTGGGACACTGGGAGTAATTGAGTGACCATGCCAACGAAGAGTGTGACATCAGAGACATTCTTATTCATGGCGTGGGATTGAAAAGTAGAAGATCTACAGAGACCCAAATGTTTGATTTGAAGCTTCCAATCAATCCAATATTCCATTCTTGATACAAGGCATCATTGGGATTGGGCTAGGAACCAACAAAAGAAAATAGGCCAAACCTAGATAGCTAATTTAATGGGATCTTATATTGAAGACACTATTATCAAAGACAGAAACAAATGTTTGCCACTAGTACTGGTTCGACTCCAATCACCAGACGCTTCAAAACCACACGGAATTGGAGAAGACAAAAGGATACAAGAGAACAGACACAGTCGAAGCAAAAGATCAAGATTCGTAAGTCAAAACCCTAACTCTATGGATCAAACTACAGTAATTAGTATCTTTTCTGACTCCGTTTTGGCGAAGTCAATACCCGAACCATTTCCCTTGCGAGGTGATGATGATTGTGCCCCAGCCGTTTTGTCATACGGTACCCAAGTAAACGCCACCACGGGTCGGGTAAGGTTCGCTCTTGACTTCAATCCGTCATTCAAAATCCACAGTTCCATACCCACCTCCATTGACTCCCTTCTCTTTGGTTCTTCTATCTTTTATTCCACTCTGCTCTGCAACAACAACAATACCAACACGAAAAAGTGAGAGCAGAACAATTTCCTAGGTCATTAGGTCCGGTCGGTGGTAACTGGTAAATTGCATTTAATGCATGGGGGAGAACTGCTACAAACAAGACTTGTACAGCGTGTTCGCACTTGATTGGCTTGTGGTATCCCGTTGTACACGCCTTATTTGTAGCCAGATCCGGAGTTGAAATCCCTCCCGCCTGTTCTTCCTTTTAGTAGGGTTTCTTACTTCCCCATAAAAAGAGAGAAATACGACACTGATCGAAAGCACGCCGAGACGTGAAGTGAAACCCTAGCTGTCAGCTCTTTTAGTTTTGAAACCCTCGAAAGGACTGATCGAAACACATTTTTTTAAAACCCCATTGAAAGCTCTCGATCAATCTTTAGTTTTTAGTTTTTACCCACCAGATTATGATCATCAGATAGAGAAGTTAAAAATATCAATGTCGGTAAAGAACTTTGACTCACCGACGATTCGGTAGCCATTTTGGGTTCATGCGTTCTCACATGAAACTGCAGCCTTGATCCTATCAACAGTGCAAGCGATGAGGCTGTTAACGGTAGCAACTGATCCGAGAGAGAGTTTAGCAGTCGGGACTGAATCAACCAATATCTGAAATGCAACAGTCAGAAGAGATCCACCAGAGCCAACCCCACCAATTCCTGCATGAACTGTTGACCCATCAGGCAGTATGGCAAATCCTGAAGGCAGGAGAGCTACATAGTCTGGGTCTCCGCCATTGAGAACCACATTCATTGCAACAATATCCACAGGAGCATAGATCACAAAAGACCCTGTCAAGTCAGTACAGCTCTCCTGTAATATCAACATGTTGCTCTGGCTTGAATTTGCACTCTGCAAATTAATATGACAACTAATTAGTCAGTTTAACGTCAGAGGCAGGTTGAAACAGATGATGATGAATTAGATCGATAACACATGCATCCGAAACTTACATTAACTCTCAACAGGGAGACACAGTTGCCTGGATCACGGCCATTAGCAATATGCGCCATTTCTTGAACAACACCTCCGTTTGAAAGGATGTCCCACTGTGATTTTGAGACAGACATGAAAAACAGCTCAGTTAGAGATAAATGAAAATTCAGGCAAGTGATGGATGCATCTAGAAATAGGTTTCTTGTTTCATTAGTAGACAGCTGTGGAATCAAATTCGACGTGACAACTAACCAGAATACTTGTGTTTGGATGGAGAATTGGTTTTAGTGTTCAAGCTACTTGTGTAAAGTGCATGTAGTGCTGCATTTGGGCTGTTTTTGGTATGAATTTCCATCTACTTTCTATTTCTCTTTTATTTTCCATCATCATACATAGACTTAGGTCTGCAGCCTGATACAGCATGCACAAGCAAAACACTCCTGCATATTCATGTTCGTTGCCCATGTGTTAATTAAAGCTAATTCCGTGACTGGTATATATACTATATTGATCATCTGCAATTAAGCAACCAGCTATAGTTATAGTTTGACTTTATGGCGCCCCAAAAATGAGCACAGCCACTTTTTTATAACCAACAGAAACGTTAGAGTATTTTGATTAGGGTTACAGATTTCAAACCTAATGTATGACTCTTAAATAAGGTCCTATGTTAGTTTATGAATACTACAAATTAGATTTATGTTCTGTGTTAGGTTATACTCTTCCATACTAATTATGATGTTTCTCTGTGATTTTGTTTTACTCAATAAGGTATTAATTTATTCTGTGAATTGATATAAATTAATTATGCATCCCACAATAATATGGTTATTGTTTGTGGAAATAAAGATTTCCAGTACTCTAATTCATTTCTGTGTGTGATGACAAAACTGGAAGATAAAAGGCTTCAAAGTTTTAGATACCTCACTTCGGGAGTTCTCATCACGCAGGAAGTCAAAAACTCTCTTTGGTGGGACTGGAAGCCAGAAGGAAGTGGCAGCACTCAGCACAATACCAGGAGGCCTGCCTGGATCATCTATGCTCTTTCTGGTCATGACTCTTACATCTTCAGCGCCACTTCCAGATAATGTAGTCCATGTGTGAGAAGTAGAAGCACTCACCCCAGAACAAAAACTTATCACCATCCTTTCAGCCAGCTTCAACATGCTCTTTCTCCCATCTGGACTTGTTATGACTGTAAAGAATAAGTGAAATACTAATAAGTGAATAAGATTAAAAGAAGATTGATTCATGATTTCTGAATTCCTTGTAATTTCAGATGCTGCAGTAGGAAATGAATTATGTATTACCACCAATATCTCCAGAAGGAATATTAGTTGCCATTACACTTGCAAGGCGTTCACACTGTCGATCTAAAGTAGCAATCCAACGCTTCGCGCCAAATGCAAGATAACAATTAACTAGCCCTCTGTACATGCTGTGAACACCTCTATCATCCACCTCTACATGTTCGACCCATATAACCTTTTAAGAAATTTGCAACCATCGAACAGATTAGTTGGGAAATCCTGCATTAAAAGAAAAAATACATTAATCTAGCTTAGAAGGTTTGGAGAAGTTTGCTCACCTTCGAATATCCATTTGGCATTTCTTGGATTAGACAGCCTGAAGGCCTTCTTCTGCACCTTAACACAGGTCCAGGGCGTAAATGATCCAAGGAAACATCGACCACCGCCCAAGTCCCATCAGCATGCTGTTTACAATACCTAACAAAGTAACTCTCTCTAGTCGGAACCAGTGGTGTAGGGACTTGGAATTCTGCTGTCATCTGTGAAATCGAAAAATGTTCTACTTCTCAGAAGCCAAGTTGATTGGGATTAATATGGAAGTTGGGTTTTTCTTAAACCCATGAAATAAGTAACTCCTGCTGATCAGTACGAAAAATAGAGAGATTTGTAGATTACCACTTGCAAGGCTCCATTGTAGTTTCCTGCTACTCCGGTTGACAGAACTTCTAGTGTCATGGCCCTTGAGACAATGCCAGAAAACACACTCGACCACTGGTTCTGATAATCAAAAAGGGAAAATTTTGGTTACACCCAAAAGAAAAATCACGTCTGTTTGTTTTCAATTCACGCAAAGAAGATGCACTTACCACATCCATAAGCATTTCAACAAGGTTAACATGGTTGATGATAACAATAGCAGTTTCCCTAGAAGCTTCAGTCTTGAATGTAGAGGGTTTTGGTCCGATTCCCCTTGGAAACGTTCTGATGTATTCATCTTCGGACAGGATCTCAGTAGAATTGTCCATTGAAGGCACCCACAAGGGTTCGCCTAGTTGGGCCATCCTGATGAGTTCCTCCATTGCTGCTACAGCAAGTTCAATAATCATAGGCTTATCAGCCTCGATAGGCCCAGATACAGATCTAAGGAGATCGCCTGCTCCATACATTTCCCCTCCAACACCGGGCTGCGCCCCGAAGTTTCCACCACCCAAGTCAAGGGAGCGGGGAGGAATGGGGGGAGAGATAAGAGGGTAGGAGACCAAAGGCTTGCCCACATATTTTGCAGCAATTCCCGAGATCTTGTCGATCTGCAAACAAAAGAGAACAGTACTTAAGTTCAAATCAAAACAACCTCCCAGGCTCTGAAAAAGCAGAAGATAGAACAAACTCTCTGCTGAGTCCTGATACCTCTTCTCTTAACCGAGCATTTTCAAGCCTCAACTGATGCTCGTCGAATGACATTTCGCCAAGGGCAGTAGGGCCACCGCAGTTAGGACATGATGCATTACTCAGGGCTTCTTTGTATCTCATGTTCTCCGCCCGTAGTTTCTCGTTCTCGGTTCTCAGATGTGTGTTCTCATGACGCTCATGCTGGGTCTGTACAAGGATAGATTTACGAGCAGCTAAAATTAGAAAACTGAAGCTAAGGAGTGTTATCAAAAGCATGCCACTCTCTCCAACCATAATATACGTCTAGGTATAGTAACCGATACAAAAAGAAAGAAAGAGAAAGTTATATATAAATACTGTTTTTATATAGAAAACGTATACACCGCCTGTAATGCAGTCCATGCAGAAGGCTTTTTAGGTTTTTTACCTTCATTTGGGTGCGCTTGTTCTGGAACCAAAATTTGACCTGCAAAGGCTCTAACCCTAATTCACGGCTCAGCTCCTTCCTTTGCTTGTCATCTGGGTGAGGGCACTCCTTGAAGAAACTGATAAGAAATGGAAGAAACAAAGCTTACACTTAGAGATCACCATAGGGTTTCTATTTCTTATTTTCCAGTTTTAGAAAATTTGAAGAGCTTACGCTTCCATTTCCTGGATTTGGTGCTGAGTATGACGATGATAACGCTTCTTTCTTGGACGCTGGCTAGGATCTTGTTCGTCACCGGAGCCACCTCCTTCGATGTTTTCGCTGCCGGACTTGCTCTCGAACTCATCATCTCTGATCTTCGCCATCTCGTTTTCGGGTGTGGTCTGGGTCATCTCGAGCTGGTGTTGCTGACCATCCAACATGTTTGCTGCCTGGAACATATTTATAGATCCTTAAGATTCCCAAGCTATTGTTTTTCAATCTACCAACAGAATGCCAGGTAACCACTGAATACCCAGAAAGCCCAAAGGAAAATAAAACTGAGAAAAGGAGAAAATATTTAGTAAATGAAAAAAATAAAGTAGAAAAGTAAAACCTATGTTTCTGTAGAAGGTGGATTTGTACTTAGCAAAATCACATAGGTCAAGAGATCTTTCTTAGTTTCTCTCCACCATCTCAACTCTCAAGGAAAGAAGACGATGTTGAAACTTGAAGTACATGCACAAAGAAGCACAAATTTATAGGGAAGAAACTCTCTCTCTCTCTCTGCAAGAGAAGACCTTACGCGTTTCTCGAATATCGAGAACAATTTGGATTGAAACGGCTTAATACACTTTTTCTACTAACAACGGTCTAATACCTTTGTTCAAACCAAAACCCATTGTACCATAAAACTGTAGCGATCTGTTAGCAGTATATAGGTAGAAGAAGGAGAATAAGTAACTGTCAAATGGAAGGAAAAGGAAAAAAAAAGCAAGAAAGAAAACAAAATAAGCCAAACGATGGCTGAATTGATCTACAGCGCATGAACATGAAATTAAGTACATGAAAATGTCATGAGCAACTAAAAAAGCAAAAGAAAATTAAAAAAAAAAAACAAAATAAGCTCAATAAGCACAAATGAAAGCAGGGATTCAAAGGTGAGACAAAGAGATCATAGATAGCGCTAACCTGACCGAGCGTAAGCCCAGAAGACGAACTAAATCCAGCGACCTTTCCGTTCATTCCCATCAATGGCGGCACATGTCTTGGTGGAATCATGATTCCGGAAGGCATACTTCACTAACGGAAAACCCTAATAGCTATAGAACTCCTTCACTCTACAATAACAAGTCAAGCGCTCTCTCCATAGCTCTACTTCTCTATGGTCTGGATAACTGGATTGGGGTCTTATATAGAGTTTACTTTTTTTTCCCCTGGAGGGAAAGCGTTTACTAGATTCTGTGCTGCAGTCTGAGAAGGCTAATCAGATTTTTACAAGTAGTACACGGGCAGAAAAGACTAAGATTTGAATTTCAGACAAGGGTAGCTCCAGACTATGTATTTGTTCATACGTGCCAAGCAACGAGAACAAGAGGAACAAGTAGTAAGAAGTCGAAGCTTTTGAAGAATGGACTTTGACAACTAATTTCACCAGGCTAAAAAACAAAATAAAATAACGCTCACGGAGATCTCGGAGCATCCAACTTCATCTTTATCTGTCTCGTTCTATCTGCAGAGAGGAAGGAGGCAAAGTGTAATAAAGTTAGAAAAAGTGACCAAGTGAGAGAGAAAAACATCCATTGCATACAGAAGGAATAATGGTGATTTTGCGAATCTGTGTTTCTTAGAAACGGCTTAAAAAAGGAGCAGTTGGGTCATCGGATCATACTTACAGTCGTGAAGTGATCCATGACTTAGAGAAAAACAAGCTTTCTGGAGCTCTTAAGAAGCCCATATGAGACGTGGATCAGATCTGTTCATCAGACTGTTCGGTAGCCGGAAAACCACTGTTTAGGTTTTTGCAGTAGTTTTCAGGAGTTTTTGACTGAGACTGCTTCGGGGTTGGTAAACGAGAGAGCAAGAAGCATAGAAGATAGAAAAGGAGATAGAAAATATTAGAAAGAGAGAAGGAAAAGAGACAGGAAAAGGAGGAGGGAGATAGAAGCGATAGAGATGGAGCTTTGGAGATGAAGAGAAGGGAAGGAGAAAGGGGAACAGGTGGAGGAGATGTGGCAGCGAAGAGTAATTGCAGAGCGTATAGAGAGGGTGCAATAGCATTTATGGAGGGAGAGGTGTAATTGCGGAGAGAGAGAGAGAGAGAGAGGATATCTAATGCTTTATTTTTCCTCAAGGAGCATGGTGAAACGAATGACGGCTACCAAACAGCAATGCTTTGAAAACATTTCACTGCCATAAATTTTGAATTCTATTATCTCCTCTTACTTACATCTTCTTAAGTTTAAGTTCAGTCTCCATTTTTTTTCTTGTAAAAGTTGAGATCATGTAACTCTTGAAAAAAATAAAGAAAAAGAGAAATTTTGCATGTAATATGTATTTTCATCGTTTGCATTATGATTTGAAATGTCTGGCATGATACTTAATTATACTACGTGAATTGCAAAATGATCAAATATCTAGGGCTCCCATTCTTGTTTGGATAAGGTACTTTTAAGAAAATTTTGCATAATTTAATGTTGATCTATATAATATGATTATCTGAGCATTTATGAATGAAACTTGCTGTTTTAGGCGTCGAATACAAATAATTTGGATATATATTTAAATGTCAAATACAAATAATTTGGATAAGCAAGTTATTGTAACAGTTATTTATCCAAGAGCAATACTTATTGTATGTAAAAGGAGGAAGCAAGTAGAAAAAAAAAATGAAGAGACAAAATAAAAACAAACTTTTCTTATGATCATTGGCATTAAACTTTTGTTAATTAAAATCTGAGGAATTCCTGAACTTCTGCCAAAATTTTCAGCCCAGGTGTAAAGATAATAATAATAATAATAAAACAACATTTCCCTTTATGGAGTTTGATCAGCAGGTCATATTGGTAAAATAAATTAAAGATCACTGGCATGTTTAAGGTGATTATTAAATTATTTAGTTAGCTTGTGAAAATAATAAACACAGTATTATTTATTTACTATGATGTTATATCTTTTTATTTTCCAAACTCAACAGCATTATAATTTTGGATATGATTAGTTTGATTTGTTACTGACCAATGGAAGGGGGTGCTTTGCCAATACGTGTGGTTTTAATTATGGAGCTTAAATTATGAAAATCCAAATTTCCAACTCAAAAATTCGATATAGTGAAGATTGAAGAAATCAGACTACATTTCAGCACCATGTTTGTGTGTATTTATTTATTTATACTCGTGTGTTTGTGTGCCAGAGAGAGAGAGATGATATATAGGTTTTACTTTTTTTTTGTTGGGAGGGAAGGGGTAGCAGGATTTGAAATTAAATGTGTTGATTTCCTTGTATTGAAACCACATCTCCGCCCCACTGCACATTCCCGCCGTATATTTAGAACATCTCTCAATGATGAAACCAGAACTGATGATGTCATCATCTAGAGATGCTCTTAATACACGGCGAGAATGTACTGTAGGGCGAAGATGTAAACTCCCTTGTATTAGGGTTTATGCAACCTTCACTGAGTAATGAGTATGCGACTGTACATGGGAGGCCCGTTTCCTTGTATCAGAGACGGGGTGTTTGCGTTGTTACAGCTCAGGATAGTTATTTTGGGAGTGGGCCTCTCCCCTCTTGGGATTCCTCCTCCAATTCACCCCAACCACGCCCTCTTCTCTCTCCTCTCTCTCTCTCATTAAATGAGTCTGATCCACGCAGGCCCTGCATGGGGAAGGCCATTTACTACGTTCATGCTTTACCCTCCCTCACGCGGCTTTAGAATTTTCCTTTTCTCTCTCTCTCCCTCTCTTTTTTTTGTTTTTATGCTTTTCTACTTCTACTTGGATTTCTCTTTCTCTTTTGTTTCCATTCCCACCGCAAATCGGCCGTTACGATCCAATTCCAAGTCAACACACCTCCGATCCGGTCTCGTGGTCTTGGGCCTCTTGCTGTATTGATGGGCCCCACGATATTCTATTTTTAAACCACAGAAATTCTCCCACCCCTGGCCTCATTCAATGCCATTGTTATCTTAAGCTTCTTTTGCTCCTCAGTTCGTTTTCACTCTCACGCTAATAGCCCACTCCTCGTCAAATGGGCCTTACTCCTTTCTAAATACTGAGCCCATTTTCGTCATTTGAAGCTTGGAACGTTGACCTGGGTCTATTTTCTTACACCATCGTCGTCATCCATCATCTGCAGAGAAAAAGAAAATGGCTAGCACCTAGCAGTAGTAGCATACGACAAATGGGCCCATTGGTGGCCCATCATTTTGACCGGGCCCTACCCATCATGGATTAAACGTGGCTTTAGTAACTGATTTGCGGAAGGTTGTGTCAGTGGCCTGTAATGAGATATTTCGAATGGTTATACACTTAAGGTAAAGGGGCATAAAAGTTAGTACCCCAATCAGACGGTGTGTGTGAGCTTAAATCCATGAACCAACTTTATACCAGAGCAGTAACTAGTTTACTATTGACCTTTAACTGGAGTCAAAGAGAGTTGACCGATTTACCACAGTTAAATAATGGAGTGAGGGCTCCAGCCTCCAGTACATTGAGATTGAGATGGTTGCAGTTTCCTTCTATTTTCTAAATGCCGCAGAAAGAATTAATAATGTGAAGAGCACAGCACTCTATCAAGGAGATAGGTTTGAACTTGTTCCCCCTCACCTTCTTCTGTTGACGTGGTAATGTTAGCCCCACACAGCTGCTGACACATGGCAATATGACAGGGTGTCTTCAGGCAAGATATATAGATTAAAGTTGTGTACCTTCGTTGGTTAGAATCATTTTGGAAATAAATTCAATGCACAGTGGAGATACGGCCCAAGCTAGGGTAGATAGCACATTGCCAGATTGTCCATCTAGTGGGCCCCTTATTAGATGCACCATTTTAATTTGCCATGTCATCTAAGATATATAGGTAGTGTAGGGGATAACTCCATACCCCACCGATTTGAAAGCAAACTCTCAAAATAACTAAAGAACAAGTCGGGAATCTATCCCCAAAGGTGAGCCAGCCATTTGGGGGAAGCCCTTCTGCGCTACCATCAAAAGCAGCTATCATGAGGAAAATTCTATGGTTTCTTAAATCCTTTTTCTTAGCTTAAAGGGATGTGGCAACAAAATGATTGCCACATCGGCGTGTATATAATCAATAGTTATTGCTGATGTGGCAACTGTTTTTTTTTTTTTTTGTTTGAGAAACAAAATCATACATATTGGTGAAACGCCTCTTAATCTCTAGCAAAGTTCCCATAATAGTAGGAAGATAGATTGCATTTTCATAATGGATTGGTTTTAAATCTTGTTCCTACATGGCATTTACATATAACAGCTGGCAATATAAAATGAAACGGCCCGTTTCCTCATATCACCCCATTTATTTGACAAGTTTCAACTTTCAAGCAGCTAATCATTTACAAAAAGGCAAAAATTATTTTCTTCAACATTAGGGGAATTGTCTAAAACTCACCCTGAGTTTTCAGCATTTCTCTTAAACTCACCACAACTTTTCAAAATGTTTAAAACTCACCATGTCACTAACTTGACATTAAACAGACTAACGGGTGTCAATATATTATTATCATTTTAACCTTTACAGAAAAATATAAAATATATACAAAACAAATTAACAGGTGTTAATATATTACCATTTTAATATTTAGACATGAAAAAATGGAAGAAGTTCAAAAAATATTTTCAAATATAAAATACATAAAAACAAAGAAATTACAAAAAATAAAAAATTATAGAAATTATAAACAAAATAAAAAATTATTTAAAAATTATAGAAACTATAGAAATTGAAAAACAAAATCAGAAAATAAAAATTGTAGAAAAAACACCAAAAAATATAGAAAAATATAGAAATTACAAATAAATAACAAAAATGCAAGAAAATTTATAGATGGTAGAAAATAGAAAATGTAAAAAAAAAACAGAAATTAAAAAAACATTGGAAACTATAACAAAACACTAAAAATGCAAAAACAAAAAAATTGAAAGCTGAAAAAGACCATTTTCCTCTAACTCACAATTCAAGGGTAATTTGGTCATAGAAATTGTTATTTATGCTGACATGGACACCTCTATCAAGAAGAATTAACGGTGCCCTAACGGAATGTGAGTTTTGGAAAATAAAAACTTACTGACATAGTGAGTTTTAGACATTTTGAAAAGTTGTGGTGAGTTTAAGGGAAAGGTTGAAAACTCATGGTGAGTTTTAGACAATTTCCCTCAACATTATTTACTCACTCCGGATGTCCTGACAAACTGTTCCGACATCCATACCTACAAGACACTACCCTATGTAATGGAAGCATCTTCCTATGAATGACAAAGGAAATATTCTCAATGCATGCCTATGGTGTCCTATGGGTAGGGGTGTCAATGGATATGTTTTGGGTTGGAACCTATCCAAATCAAAATCAATTTGGACGGATTGAAAGGACCAATAAGACATTAAATTGGACCAGTCCAGAATTAATGGTCCAAATATTTATTGGATTGTATTGGACCTCATCCATCTATAATTGGTTTTATTAGATTGGTTGGACTGAACCAATATCCAATCCATTGAAAAAAGATAAGGACACAAGTGTCAATGGACCAGGTTTGGATTGAAAGAACTAGTCTAAATTAAAACCAATTTGAACAAATTGGACGATTTAAACATTGAATTAGACTGGTCCATAATACTTATTAGGTTGAATTGGACCTGATCCATTTTAAGTGGATTCATATTGAACTGAATCGGATTTGACCAAATCCAGTCTAATTGACACCCCTACGCCATGGGAACAGTTTATGGGTAGGAGATCCGAGATTACATTATTTAGCATAAAATAAGGCAACTCACAGTCCTATTTATGCACATAAATATTTCTCACGCATATATGGTAGTGTGATTGCAAAATGGCTCAATTGGTTCATGTTATCCTTTTCCATCGTCAAATTATAATCATAATAATATCCTCTTTGACATAGCAAGTAGATTACTTTCTAACTTTTATTTGTTTGGAAATTAAAAGAAAACAAAGATTTTTAAAGAGCAATTAATCTGACCAAAGAAAGGCAAAATACTATGCCA